AGGGGAACATATGAACCTCCATGGGAAGAGGAAATAGAATAAATTTTGTGGGTGGACTGGGGGCAGATGGGGATGGGAGCTGGAGGAATCAGGATGGAGAGGGGATGGGGATGGAGAGAGAGAGTGTGGGGAGAGACAGCTGGAATTGGGAAGCATTGCAGTGGTGATGTGCAGACCTAGTGGAAACGTCCTGGAATCCATGAGGACGCTCCTGCTAATGGAGGGTATGGAGTCTGAACTGGCCATCTTTTGTAGCTAGGCACGGCTTCCTTCCCGTGGTGAGACTGGGCTGCATTCAGTTGTTGGCTGAGGGGGTTCCATCATGATCCCTAAACAACTCAGGCTGATGCTAGGACAGAAGATCCCTCTCTGAAAACTGACAGTGGGGCCCAGTTGCCGGAGGACAACATCCACACAGCTCATTGAAAGGTTAAGCTGGTGCCTGCATGGAGCCTTCAGCCCAACGATCTAGTCTCTGCAAGTCACAGAAAGAGACACCTGGGCACCAGCCCAGCCACAACACCCTCCACCTGCAATCTGTCCTGCCTGCAAGATGTGCTGGGGGAAATCTTGCCACAAGAACTTGTGGGCGTGGCCAACCAATGTTTGGTTTAACTTGAGCCTGTGCCCTACACTACCTGGATGGTCAGGAACTGGAGAGTGGATAGCCCAGAGTCCGAGGGTTGAGTCAAACACAACTGGGGGAAAAAAAGGAGAAATGATTCTTAATGATATTTTGCTATCCTCATAAACTGGTGCCTTGTCCAGTCACCACCAGAGAGACTTCCTGCAGCAGCAGATGAGAACAGGTGCAGAGCCCCCCAGCTAGATATTATTGGAGAGTCTAAATTGGAGGTCTCCATCGGTGCCTCCCCTAGGAAATTGGGAAACCCCACCGAAGAGGAGAAGGAACGAGATGACTCCTGTCAGAGGGGGTGAGGAAACCAGGAGACCATGGTCCACTAAATCACCGAAGTTGAGTTCACAGAGGCTCACAGAGACTGAGGCGGCAAGCAGGGGGCTTGCGTGGGTCTGAGCCAGTCCCCTGTGGATACTTACAGGCTGTTTGCTTGCGTTTCTGTGGGACTCCTAACAGTGGGAGTGGGAGTATCTCTGACTTTTGTCTGCTCTAGGCGCTTTTCCTCCTCCTGGGCTGCTTTGCCCAGCCTCAATATGAGGGCTTTTGCTTTGTCTTGGTGTTATCCTGTTTTGTCATCTCTTGGAGGACTGCCCTTTTCTAAAGAGAAAATGGAGAGGCAGTGGGTCTGGGGGAGAAAGTAGGTGGGTGATAGCTGGGAGAAAAGGAGGGAAGGGAAACTGTGTATGAGAGAAAATACATTTTCAATAAAAATATTGAAAATAAACTTTTACTGTTGGAAAAAAAGATGGCTCGCTGTGTAAAGGCGCTTGCCAACAAACCCGAGTCGGAGCCCTGGGGCTCCACATGGTGGAAAGAAAGAGCAAACTCCTGAAAATTGTCTTGTGGCCTCCACACATACGCTGTGGCATGTCTGTGTGCATCTCTCTCTCTCTCTCTCTTTCTGTGTACACATGGATTAAAAAAAAAACCCTAAAGTTAAAATGAAATCAAATCATTAAAAAGGGAACTTAGCACATGCTGAGAGCGATGAGACGAGGCGAGCAGCTTCAGGCCCGGGTGCAGCTACAGGAATGTAGAGTGGAGTGGTTGCTGGGAGGAACAGCCTGCGAGGACTAAGTTAAAGATAACTGTATGCCCCAGCACCTCCCTTTTCTTCGTCTACGATAGAAAACACTGGTAGTCTGGGCGACTGGTTCCCCTAACATGCAAGGTCAAAAGCAGACCCTGTGTTGGTTGCTTTCTGTGATAAAAACACCTGGCAGAAGCAACTTAGGGGAAGATTGACTTTGCCTCACGATTTGAGAAGGGATGAGGTTCATGATGGTGGTGGGAGCGGAGTCGTCACACTGTATCTGCGATCAGGAAGCAGAGAGACATGATGGAAGATGCTCCTCAGCTGGCTCTCAGCCTTCCTCCTTTTCATTCAGCCCAGGATCCTTAGCCCTCCGATGGTGTGTCCACACTCAGGGGGCTCTTTCCTCTCTTCCCCATCCTCTCCCGACGTACATCCTCACAGACTTGCCCGGACACTTCTCTTCAGGAGAGTCCAAATTCAGTCACATTAACACTGGTGATCAGTGCCTCTCATCATAACGAGGCTGGCCTGGTGGTCAAGTTTAAAACAAGCATTGAAATACAGCAACACAATGTTCACGGCAGAACTATTCCTAATAGTCAAAGGCAGAAACTATTAAAAACTGGCTGCCACTGAAGAAATTAATGAACAAATTGAGGGCACTCACACATTTTCTTTCTTTCTGTTTCTCTCTCTCTCTCTTTTTTTTTTTGAGACAGGGTTTCTCTGTGTAGCCCTGGCTGTCCTGGGCTCACTTTGTAGAGCAGGCTGGCCTCGAACTCACAGAGATCCACCTGCCTCTGCCTCCCTGAGTGCTGGGATTACAGGAGTGCAGTACTGACCCTCCACGCCCTCCCCGCTCCCCAGCACACTCACATTTTCAAGAGACTGCTGGCCACAGAAGAAAGGAAACACTGGCTCAACCAAGAACACCATGGATTTGCCTGCAGCTCTGTTAAGCCAAAGAAGCCAAACACACAGGCTCATGCATTTGTTGTATAATTCCACTCATGGGAAAGTCCATAGGTTCAGGAAGTAGCAGAGGCTGAGGGGCAGGAAGAACGAGTGACTGTTTAAAGGTCTAGGTTCTCCTTTGGGACATTGTTTTGTAAGTAGACAGGGGTAGTGGTCTCAGAACGCTATGGATGCATCACATTCAAGACAGCTAGGGCTGCACAGTGAGACCCTGCTCAAGCCACCTGTCCCACCTCCCTGCAAAAGCATGTCACCAGTTCCGCCATGCAGGTAGCTCTCACGACGTTCCACGCACTGTGCGCAGAGGCCGCAGCTTCAGCGGCTTGGTTCACCACAACTTGGTTTTGTCAGACTTTGTTATACAGTTTGAAATTTAACACAGTCAGGCTGTGGGGGGGGGGGGGGGGGATCAGGCAAGTGCTTGCTGTGTAAGCATGAGGACCCGAGTTTGATCCCCACAGTGCACACACAAAAAGCTGAATGTGGTCTCCTATAAACCCAGTGCTGGGGAGGCGAACATGGTGGATGCCTGAGGCTCGTCGGGCAGCTAGCCTGCTTGGCAAGCTCCGGTCCACTGGGAGAGCTGGTCTAAAAAAAAAAAAAAGGAAGGAAGGAAGAAAAGAAAGAAATGAAAAGTGGACAATATGTTTGAGGAATGACATATATGCGCCCTTGCACGGACATGAACATGCAAACACACAATTTCATACAGTTAGAAATGTCCAGAAGTGCCATGTGTCTGATCCAAAGAATTTTGTTTCTGGACCACTTAAAAGTTTGGACTATGTGAGGGCTCTTCAGATTTTCACTGCCAGGTCCTTTATCTGTCTGTCTGTCTATCTACCTACCTACTTACCCATCCATCCATCCATCCATCCATCCATCCATCCATCCATCCATCCACTGTGCTGCCCTACAGCCACCTGAGTCAGGGCACATCTGAAGATGCTGCCATGGAGGGATTCTCCAGCACTGCTTGGCACCCAGCTACCACCTCAGTGGGACTGTGGAAGCGGGGAGCCAGCCTAGAGTCCCTGGTGTGCTTGGTCTCTCTATCCCCGACAGTCTAAAGTGGGCGCTTGGGCTACTCGGTCCCTTTTCTGACCCCAAACTTTCTGAGGATCCATTCTGTAGCATGCCGCTCACGCAGGGCTGTCTGATGTTTCTCACAATTAGGCTGAAGGCAGACATCTGGTGATAACATCGCAGATGTGACTCTGAGTCCTAGCTGGGTCTTATCGAGTGCCTGTCGTTTCAGTTCCTGATGTCTGTTGTTTTGATAAGAGGCCTTCAGCCTCCCCAGGAAAAGTTCCTCCGTCCCCTCTTTAATTACTGCACGCTTAGCCATGCACTTCCGGTGGAGAGCGAAACTCTAGCTGATTTCTTAACAGAATTTCAATCATCTATTCACTTATCTATAACTACATTGACTCATGATCTTCTATTTTAGTCAATGAATCTCCACGTGTTTCTTTCCCCCAGTTTCTATTTGCTATGCAGGGTTCTGAACAGTACTCTGGGGCCTCCTGCAAGCTGGCATCTGTCTTTATGTTCCTGCTCCATCTCTTTTACATTATCTAATTATGCAAATAATTGCAGGCTCATATTGTACTTCTTTTGGTCCAGAAACTTCTCCATCAAGTCCGGCTCCTTCCACTGGCAAATAATATTTAGAAACCCGTATCTAGGGATGGGTGCTACCTGTAGCTCCTGGAGTGTCTTCATTTGCATCCTTCTCAGCAGACAAAGCCAGGGAATACACATGTATGTCTGCATACACAATGCAGGCACACAGACACAGACATGTGCTTATGCAATGTGCATGGGCACACATACTATCCAGTGAACTCTTTCCCTGGGAAGAGTTAAACAAATGCCACCCCTTTCCTTATAAGGACACTTGTGACAAATCAAAGTGTGATTCCAAAGTCAAGCTTAGGGAAACAATGAGTTTCTTGAACTTACTTACAGAACGTGGATAAGGGATTATTTACAGGAGGGTGACGGCAAAGCAGTCCAACAGTCTCACCTCAACGCGGAAAAAGACCCCCCCGTCCCCAAGTTAACCTCCCCTACTCTATATACACTAGTAACGCCGAGCCCATGAAGCTATGTGAATTCAGGACACAACCGCACACAGATATGGCCAGAAAATCGAAATCTAACAACCCTCTCTCCTCCTCTCTCCTCCTCCTCCTCTATTTCTCCTTCTTTTGTGTTTATCAAGACAGGGTTTCTCCGTGTGGCCTTGGCTGTTCTGAAACTCACTCTGTAGTCCAAGCTGGCCTCAACCTCAGAGACCTGTCTGCCTCTGCCTCTGCCTCTGCAAGCTAGGATCAAAGGCGTGCCCACTACCTCCTGGCTTATTCCTTTTTTATACGAAGAAATCAACAGTTAACATGCCTGCTTTTGGGAGACTTTTGTAAGTAGTTCAGAGCTGTTCTGATAGAGACGATGGCTGTCGTCTGGCAGGACGGTGCTCTACAACACACACAGATGCATGCATCCCTGTTCACACACTCACCCCTCACATCTATGTCTCTGTAGCTACAACGAAACCCGCAAACCCCTGGCTACAACTCTCTTCCGAACGGTCCCAGGTTTACTTCCTTTCCATCTTGGGCTGCTGGTCTACATTGCCCTCCTCCTCTCCCCCAGACAAAAAAAGAGGGCAAAAGTCACACACCGGGTCGGTATAGGGCTCCAGCAGCCCTGCTTCTGCCTCCAGTTCCGTCTCTGGGTACCTGCCTTCTCTCTCTCCATAGGGAAACTAAGGCTCAGAGTGAGGTTACCGGGCAAGGTCTGATGTAGAGAGTCTGCCCATCCTGGTTCACTCAGTTTATGCTTGCTCACTCCTAGGGTCTTCTATTACAAGCCTGGGGGTCCCTAGCATAGCCGGAGCTCAATGTCAATGCCTAAGAGGCAGGTGGCTTAGGGGAGTCCCTGTTAGCATTGCACCTGGGCAGTTGGCCCAGAGGGCTCCCTACAGCCTCCTCCTTGGCCTGGCATGCCCTCTGCTGGAGACACTGACGACTGTGGCACGAGGAGCAAACCAAGCTTTGCAGATGGCTGTGGCACAGGAAAGCCTCGGGGTTCTGCTAACGCAGGGATGCCCAAATTTAGCAAGGCTGCAACACACAGGATCAGGTTACAGTCAGACTTCCCCGATAACTGGGAAATAGACTTGGAAGTCAATACCATTTTCTAGTACTAGCTGTGAGGGTAATAGATTGTCTTGTGTTTGTGGTTTCTTTAAACCATCACTTTCAGCTAATGTTTTGAAAGTTCACATTTAAAGATTATTTCCAGTACCAGAACTTCCTTGATGCAGACCTAGATCATGTTCTTCCCGGGAAAGAGCTTTCTCTTCCGATTGTAGGGTAGCCAAGACGCTGGCAACACATTTTCTCAGAATCTGAGAGGCTGAGAAAGCCTTGCTCTTTCTGAATTTTGTTTTGAGCCAGGATCTTGCTATGCAGTCCAGATCTCAACCCTGCTCCTGGGATTATAGGCATGAGCCACCACATTCGCCTCCTTACATTAGCTACTGATTGGGTTAATCTCAGGCCTGAACCAGTCAGAATTCCTTGGAGTACCAGGATCCACAGCCCCTCAATGGTGGCTGCAGGCCCTAACCCCTCTGGGCCCTCCATGGTTGGAGCCTCCCGTATGTCCTCAGGACTCCTTGCCATCTTTGAATGCCTGTAGATCTGCCTTGTCAGCTTCCTGTTAGAGTGTGTTGGGGGTGTCTTGTAAGAGGGTGAGCCTGCCCTGCACTACCCAAGGGGTCCAGGTGAATATGCCCTGGGGTGTGCAGAGAGCAGGGCTGGGTAGCCCTCAGAGAAACCCAGGAGGTGTTAGTGGGGACCAGGCTGGTGAGGGACAGGAGTTCCGGGTGAGGAGAGAACTGTAAACCCCTGACCTGCAGGCCAGAGAATCCAGACGGTGGGGTGGATAGGCAGGTAGGACAGTGGTCATCCCTAGCCCTGTAGGGGAATGGAGGTGGCTTAAGGTGGGGTGTCTTCTGAGGGGAGGCTGGCAGCCTCTTCTCAGATTTCTCTCCTCTGCATGTGTTGCTCCTCAGCTGATGAAATGCCCTATGAAAGGCTCAGCTCATCAGCTGCCTGATAAGCAGCCTGCCACATCAGGAGACCTGCGCAGATAAGGCCCCGAGGTCACACTGCAGGATTATCTGTAGAGCTGTGTGTGATGGGACAGTAGGGCCCCTTGCACCAACGGGATGCTTGGCACAGTTCTCTGCCAAAATAGGCTGGTTCCTATTTTGATAAGGGGATTCATGTGATTCTCTCCCAAAACTGTTCAGGAAAGCTGAGCCTGACCCCAAGGACTCGGAGGACTTCAGGTGAATGACTGTTACCCATTGCACCTCCTTGCTGCTTTTGGGGGTGGTCCTGTGTCTCTCCTGGGAAATGTGTTGGAGTATGTCAACATTTAGATGTCCTCTGCATCCCTGGACAGGGGACAAGATCCCCATTTCAACAGTTGGAAGGAGTGCCATCTGAGCGATGCCTGCTCAGCTGAGAGGGACCCTCGGTATGCAGTGCTCTGTCCATGGTGGGAGACCCCAAGACACAGAGCAGACCTGGTGGGCCCTGAGAGAGACCAGTTGGATCTCTGCCTTTCATAGCCTAAAACAGCAAGACTCCATGCAGGGTGTGCGTGGCTGGTCCTCTGGTTGTGCACTCAGCCATGTGACCCGCAGGCATCAGAAGGGCATCTGGGTGGTGGGGACATGCTACATGGGGGCCTTTGATCTAAGTCATTTTCTTCATGTCTGGATTGGAGGGTGGCGTGCTCCTCCTCTCACGCACTCTGGTCTGGAAAAATGAAAAGGCAAAGGGCAACAGGCAAAATAGAGGGGAGCAGAGACAGCCAAGGTAAAGTCCTTTCCCGGAGCCCCTGGCATCTGTATGTCACCCCAAAGCAGAGTAACCAAGCTTGTGACATCTGTGACCTGGTGCTCCAAGACCCCAGATTCCTGGGCTGAACCCACCCTCCATCTCAGGCTCTGGCTCCATTCTGGACTTGATCTTCTGCCAGCTTCAGTTCAGCCCTGCCTCCCAGCTGGACTCAGGCTGTTCTCCTCACTGCTTCCAGATGCTAAAGCTGCTGCTGCTGCTGCTGCTGCTGCTGCTGGCACTGTCCCTCCCGGCTAGCCTATTGCACACTGCCTCTCGTGAGTCCCTGTCTCTCTCCCTCACTGTCACAGGCCACAGGCTATGGGGGAGTTTGGAGAATCCCAGGGATAGCTGCTCCAATACAGGAAGGGCAGCGAGGTTGCTCCTTGTCCTTCTCCAGGCCCAGCTGAGCAGCGAGTGGGCATCATGGGAGGTCACGAGGCTTCTGAGAGTAAGTGGCCCTGGCAGGCAAGCCTGAGATTTAAACTCAACTTTTGGATGCATTTCTGTGTCGGCTCCGTCATCCACCCACAGTGGGTGCTTACTGTGGCACACTGGGTGGGACTGTGAGTCTCCCTGAGCCCGGTTCGGTGGGATGGGATCAAGATTATTTCCACAGTCCCCAAGTGATCCTGAGGTCCAGGCTGGAGCCTTCCAAGCCATGACTGTCCTTTTCTAGGCACATCCGAAGCCCACAGTTCTTCCGGGTGCAGCTTCCGGGAGCAGCATCTGCACTATGGGCACCAGTTGCTGCCTGTGAACAGGGTCATCGCACACCCCAGCTATTACACGGCTGAGGTTGGGGCAGAGAGTGCCCTGCTGGAGCTTGGGGACCCTGTGAATGTCTCCACCCATATCCACTCCACATCCCTGCCCCCTGCCTTGGAGACCTTCCCCTCAGGAACATCATGCTGGGTGACAGGTTGGGGTGACATTGATAATGATGGCTGCCCGTTAGGCAGAGTAGGTCTCGCCAAGCCCCAACATTGGAGGGTAGGCAAGGGTTCCAAGGGCTGGCCGGGGATGGTTGCTGATGATCTCTCCCAAAGGCTGCTCTTCTCTCACCCCAGAGCCCCTCCCTCCACCTCATCCACTGAAGCAAGTGAAGGTCCCCATTGTGGAAAACAGCCTCTGTGACTGCAAGTACCACACTGGCCTCTGCACGAGAGATAATGTTCTCATTGTCTGTGATGATGTGCTGTGTGCTGGAAATACCAGAAATGACTCTTGCCAGGGGGGGCTGTGTGCCCCCTGCACCCCACCCCATCCAGTCTCCATATGGAGCGCTGTCTTCCTCAGGGCGACTCAGGGGGGCCGCTGGTCTGCAAAGTGAAGGGTGCCTGGCTGCAAGCCTTGTGGTCAGCTGGGGTGAGGGCTGTGCGGAGGCTAACCATCCTGGCATCTACACCCGTGTGACCTACTACTTGAACTGGATCTGCCGATATGTCCCTGAGCACTCCTGGGCTGCCTCCAGGGTCAGGGAAGAGCCAGGCTCCCGCTGTCTTTAACTCACTGCTTCCCACCCAGGTAGAACCCCTGCCTCCCCCGTCTTCCTTCTGGTTCTCCCTCTGAGTCCCATCGGAGCCTCTGGTCACTCCTGTCCCCTCTACCTCCCGCTCCATGCAGTTGTACTGGGTACTCTCTTTCATTAAAGTACATTAAAACAGCTATGGGGATGGCTGTTTTCATTGTGGGTGTCACCGGGGCAAATGGAGGGTCCCAGAAAGCTGTGATGCTTTTGTGTGGGATCCTAGCCCACAAGGCTTGGCATACTGTACTGGGTGGGACAGCTCCTGCACCCAAGACTGAGCTCACTTTAAACAAACACATATGAACGCTTAACACACATTAAGCATGTGCTTGTCTAATAATGTACATGCCACAGTGCATGTGTGGAGGCCAGAGATAACTCCTCAGAGCCACCTTTGTGTGGGCTCTGGGCAGCAAACTCGGGTTGCCAGGCTTTTACTGCCAGCGCCTTTAGCCACTGAAGCATCTCACCTGCCCACAAGCTCCTTTCTTTTATGTGTGAAGTTTCATGTCCTTCAGACACAAAGAATAACTTGGAAACCTTAAAAGATCAATGGAGAGGGAAGCCAGACTCACTGCAACTGGGCCACACCCGGCAGGGACCAAGGTTGCACTGCCTCCTCTCCATAGGGAGAAAGAAGGAGGGAGGAAGGAAATTCAGGTTGTGGTGGGTGAAGGCTGGGCCCCACTCTGTCCCTGTTGTATTCTGTGTCTTTGAATTTGTCCCTTGCTGCCAGGGCTGGGTGTTGCCTTCATGGGAGAGCTCCTCCCCAGTGGTATGCAACAGGATCCTCCTCCCTCCCGCCCTACAACAGGTATGAGGCCATCTCTACCCCACCCCATACTAGCAGGTCCAGGGCCTGGGCAGGAGAAGGGGTGGTCCTGTCTCTGCTGTGAGTACCATGGCGCTGGGACCCTGTGGCTTCTTATTGCTTCTGGCTGTTCCTGGTGAGTGAGCTGGCATGGGGTCAGTGTGGCACAGGATACAAGGTGTATTTGTATCCTGTCCTGGGGTGGGAGTTGGCCTGTTTCCTCTCTGGACCTTCCCTGGCATTTACCTTATTTTCCACCCTGGCCTGGAGTTCTGAGAGCTGGGAGCCCATGCAGAGGGATCTGACTTCCTTGAAGTCTGGGCTTAGGTGGACAAAAGCCAAATTCCTCATGCTGAGCCTCTGCTCAGCCTGGACCCCCCCTGTGTAGCTTGGCCATCATTGCAGGGGACAGAGGCTTGGGGTGTAGGTGTGGGGACGCCTACAGGCACAGACCCTGCTAAGACCGTCCTCAAGGAGGATGTAGAGGTTGTGAGGGGCTGAGGTTGGGCCAGCACTCAGTGCCTCCCAGCTGTTGTTTATGGCCCGTGGCTGGTGCCACTCTACCCTGGGATCAGGATGGCTGCTGGCCAGGCCACATCCACCTGGTTGGGCCTCACCTACCTGGCTAGATCCTAGTTCTAGCTTCTCGGGATGGGAACATCTACCTCAGAGCCACCTTGGGACCCTGCAGGGGCCAGTGGTTAGGCCCATGGAACCAGAGTCACTCCCGTGGACAACTTCCCTAATCCTGTCTCCATCCTTCAGGTATCTCCCATGAAGCTCTACGGTCAGGTATGTCTCCAACAGATAGTTCAGGATTAGAGAGCAGTCCTGGCAGGCCCCAGAGGGACGGTGTCTATGGTGGGGGAGATGGACCTTGCCTAGAGAAGCCACATTCTTGCCACAGGCCCCTCTGGTACAGCAGCTGATGGGGCACAGGCCAGCCTCACCGGGGAATCTGCAGCTCTGCCCCACTCTGGCTATTTTGTATTGTTCAGAGCTACTTTGAATCTCCTGTGTAACCTGCTGGTCGTCACAGTCCACTCCTTTCTTCTGCTGTTGTTGCTCTCAGGAAAGAGATTCAAGGCATCTTGTTAGCCTGAGTCCTAAGAAAGGACTTACCTAGTGTTCTGGGGTGAGGGATGTGATCTTTTCCATTTCTTTTGTATCAGCATGGGCCCAATTTCATTCTGTTGTACAGATTAAGAGCGAAGGCCTCCCATGTGGGATGGCCTCTAGATTTTCAAGAAAAAAAAAAAAAAACTGAGGTGAAATTTACATTGAATTTAGCCACGATACAGTGTAGCATTTGGTGGCATTTAACACATTTCCAGTGTTTTGCCATATCACATCTATCTAGTTCCAAACATCACTCTAAAAGGAAGCCGCATTCTCACTAGAAAGGCATTCCTTCTCCTCCCAGTCCTCCCCACCCTCGCCTCCTGGGCTTTCTTAGCTCCCATCACTTATCCCCTTAATTCCAGGCAGTGAGCTCCCTGCTCAGCCCCACTGAGTCCTCTTTCTCAGCAGTCTGCTATGCCCTTTGGGGCAGTGTTCAGACTCCGAGATCCATAAATGGACTGCTTCCGGGGCAGCAGTTTCCAACCTGTGAGTCATAAACCCTTTGGGGAGGTCAAAAGACTCACTCACAGGGGTCTTCTAAGACCATCTGTATATCAGATACTTATATTACGATTCATAACAATAAAATTAGTTATGAAATAGCAATGAAAATAATTTCATGATTGGGGGTGACCACACATGAGGAACTAACTGTATTAAGGGGTCACGGCATCAGGAAAGTTGAGAACCACTGTTTTATCGCATTGTTATTTCCCGCACCCACAATGCTTCTGGGGAGGGACTAGTGGATGGGGAGCAGAGACGTTTGTGAAATCCCTAAGATGCTAATGAGTGGGAGTAATGGAGGCTCCTAGAGGAAGGGCATGGAGCAGAATGCCAGTCTCTGGAATTCCCTAGCCAACAGTGCCTCCTCTGGATCAAGGTGTGGCCAGCCCCAGGTTTCACATGCAGGAAGCCGAATCGTGGGAGGCCATGCTGCCCAAGCTGGCGTATGGCCATGGCAGGCTAGCCTCCGTCTACAGAAGGTGCATGTGTGTGGAGGGTCCCTGCTCAGCCCAGAATGGGTGCTCACAGCAGCCCACTGCTTCTTTGGGTGAGTGACCTGATGAGGCTTGATTGCCTGGGCTTGTGAGGCAGTGACAGCAAACAGGACCTTGCTTAGCCCGTGACTCACCCTTGAGTCCAAGATTCCCCTTCAACAGAGAAAACCGTAGTGAGGTCCACCTACCTGAAGTGGCAGTGTACAGCCCAAGCGAGGGTGGGGCCCCTTTTCCCACACCTGCCATGGGAGGTGCATTTAACCTCCACTGGGCTTGAGAGTGATCCTGACCACTTAGCCAGCTTATATCCATTAGTATCCTAAGCCTAGGCAGCCTGAAGCCATTCAGCTTATCTTGTATACTTCCAGAACTGCCTTTCCTGGTTTTAAGAGGATTGTTGGTTCCCACTGTGCTGGACACTTTGTAGCCAGTGGAGACAGGACCCCAGACTGCTGTCCTTGGGCCCTGAAGTATACGGCATGGCCAGGCTCAGGCCTCGTGTACACAGTAGCTGTTGCTGTGCCAAGAGCTGAGGACAAGCAGGACTTTGGTTGGCTGTTGGCAGGAGTGAGTGGTGGGTAGGTCAGTCGTCGTTGGAGGGGGACACTGACATCTCTTCCTGCCTCCCAGGTCTGTGAATTCATCGGATTACCAGGTGCACTTGGGAGAGCTGACGATCACCCTGTCTCCCCATTTCTCCACTGTGAAGCAGATCATCCTGTACTCAAGCCCCCCAGGACCACCAGGGTCCAGCGGGGACATTGCGCTGGTGCAGCTGGACAGCCCTGTGGCCCTTTCCAGCCAGGTCCAGCCTGTGTGCCTCCCAGAGGCCTCAGCTGACTTCTACCCTGGGATGCAGTGCTGGGTGACAGGCTGGGGCTATACAGGAGAGGGAGGTAAGGAGCCCTTCCACCCACGGGGGTAAGGGAAGGCAAGGGCCACCTGGGGAGCAGCAGGAGCCACTGGTGCCAACACTTGTTCCTCCTAAAGGCCAGTCACATACTAGCCTAGACCAAGGTCCACATGTCCGACCCACAGACTGGGGGGTGATGAGGCCAGCACGGAGGAAAGCTGGCAACGACACAAGGTTTGTGCCTGCCACTTGCCCACTCCCAGCAGGGCAGGGCTGGTTACTCAGCCTTCTCTTGAACCCTCTTTTCTCTCAGAGCCTTTGAAGCCCCCGTACAACCTGCAGGAGGTAGAGGTCTCCGTGGTGGACATGAAGACCTGCAGCCAGGCGTACAGCAGCCCCAATGGCAGCCTCATCCAGCCAGACATGCTATGTGCCCAGGGCCCCGGGGATGCCTGCCAGGTGAGTTGGCTCAGAACATGAAGAATGGTATGGCCTGAAGCATGGCAAGAGCCCCCGAGTCCTTGGTATCCCATCCTCATTCTGACCTCTTGTCCTGCAGGATGACTCTGGCGGGCCCTTGGTCTGCCAGGTGGCTGGGACCTGGCAGCAGGCTGGTGTCGTCAGCTGGGGTGAGGGCTGTGGCCGCCCTGACCGCCCTGGTGTCTACGCTCGAGTTACTGCCTATGTAAACTGGATCCATCACCATGTCCCGGAACCAGGGGGCTCAGGAATGCAAGGGCTTTCCTGGATTCCCCTCCTGGCTGGCCTCTTCTTGCCAAGCCTTCTCCTGCTGCTGGTCTCTGGAGTCCTGATGGCCAAGTGCTGGCTGGGCTCTCCCTCCCACCCAACTCCAGACCTCTGACTCAGGTGTCACAACCCAAGTGTCTTAAATAAGTTAGTGTTTTATTCAGCTTTGCTTTGCCCCTTCCCTCCCCTTATCTTTGACTTAGGAAGCCAAGTTTTCTGCATCAGATTATTGCAACATTTAACCTGAATTGTAAAAAATGGATGACACAAAGCAAAATGGATGTCAAATGAGTGTCGGGTCCGACAGCCTAGGATGGATGGGAAGCCCCACTCAGTCAGAACTGTGATGTCTTATTGCATGGGTCAGTATTCCTTGGTGATGTGGCCTTTCCCAGGGTCACTGGGAAGCTTCTAGACCATCTAAGAGGATGGAATGGGGAGGG